AGTAACTTCATCAAGGGTTTCACTGTTTCCTTTCTCAAAACCGGGGAGAGGTTCTTCTTCGACAGTGGCTTTTCCGGGTGACACGTCTTCAGCAGCATCTTTTGTTCCGTTGTTCACTTCGCCCCAACTGAAATATCCTAGACCGTGATAATGCCAGACCCTGTTGGCATGCGCCACCTTTGGCTTACCTCGCCGACCACATTTTATCCGGAAAGTCACGTTTGAGAGACGATCCACTATGTCATATGGGCCTTCCCATGGAGAAGACAACTTAGGAGACTTCACTTTGGTCTTCCTGGGATTATACAACCATACCGTGTCTCCTGATACAAAGCTGACTTCAGTAGACATCTTATCATAACATAGCTTCATCGAATCAGCAGACGTTTTCAAGTTTGAACGCACTTGATGGTGAATATTATCCATCCTTTTCGATAACACATTCACGAACTCCGACACATTTTCAGGCAACTCTTTGTAAGGTGGGCGTCCTGTTAACAGATCCACTGCCAACCGAAGTTCCCGACCAAACATCAACTTTGCTGGAGTGTATCCAGTGGCTTCATGCTCTGCTGTTCTATAGGCCATCAACAGGGGAGGGAGTAAGACATCCCAGTCATCTTGGCGGCTATTATAGAACTTTGCCAATTCCTGTCCAAGTGTCCAATTGTACTTTTCTACCATCCCATCAGACTGTGGGTGAAGTGTCGTTGTTCTCGTGTTTCGTATGCCAAACAACTTGCAGCATTCATGGAACACAGTTGATTCAAAACTACGGCCTTGATCTGAATGCAGTTCGTATGGCATACCAAATCTGAAGTAGAAGTCACTAATAGCCGAAGCTACAGTATTGATTTGGTATTGCATATGCCTCAGGCCACTTGGTGAAATAATCCATCACTGCACAAATGTACTTGTTTCCAGCACGAGTCTGTGGCAAACGACCAGCAATGTCAACGGCTACTTATTCCATTGGTGTGCCAACTTGATATAACTTCATTGGAGCACGTCACTTATGCTTGGGTCCCCTTTTAGCACAACATGTACTGCATGTCCTGCACCATTCTTCCACATCTTGCCTCATACCTATCCAGTAAAATTTCTGTCGTAGATGACTCAATGTTTTCTTAACTCCGAGATGTCCTCCTGTTAAACTATCATGGGATTGACGCAGCATAAATTCCCGTAACTTTCTCGGTATAACCGTTTGCCAGGTTGTCACTTGCCCATCTGCAGTTTCCCATCTCCGGAGAAGAATACCATCTACAAGCTTCAACTGATCCAATTGTGCCCAATAGTTCTTTGTCACAGGGCTTAAGCTAGACGCCTTCTCCCAAGCAGGGCGCAAAGCACTTGCTTTTAGAAAATCATTTATTGGCTTCAAATCTTGTTTTTTTTTCTTGCTCTGCTTTAATATCTATACATGGTTCCACTTCACCATCATCAACTCCTTCAGTCACTTTGACTT